CTCACCGAGTATTGAGCAACACGTGACGTGCGTGCCTCTTACCGCCCACACGTCGGCTAGCCCGCGGTTACGCGTTACCCCCCCCATACCTGCCTCACGAGTATCGAGAACAACGTGAGTGCGGTGCTGTCTACCACCACACGTCGCAGGCCCGCGTGTACTACCCCCATACTGCTCACCGAGTATTGAGGAACAATGTGAGTGCGTGCCTCCACACCAACACGTTGCAGCTCGCTGTTTACGGTACTATCCCTCTCCCATAGATTACTCTATAATTCTTGTATCGCTTATATGCCTTATTTTTGCAAGTCATTCTTTATCTCACTTTTATCCCTTGTATGTGTGTTTTAGTCTCATCTGACATAGTCAGATGCAGTGTGTAGAATCCGCATGACGGCGTTCCGTCGGTCCGATCCGGTCTGTCCCGGTCGGTCCGTCCGTCCGTCCTGTCCGTAGCAACAGTTCGGCGCGCAACCAAATCTTAACCGCTCGACGGTTACACGGTCACGATATTCGGGTCCGTTGGGGGGATCGTCAAAAACGAGTTGGGATGTCGACAGCTGGGGTCGCAAGGTCACAAGGTCAAGAGGTGTAAAGAAGGGGAAACATTCACTCCTTAACTCTAAGGTATAGGGGAGGAACATGCACAGAAATTGCGCCAAATCTAACATGGCGTTCGACCTAGGCTCGTGATAATTCGGTGCTATAGGCATCAATGGTAGGAAAAACCATCACTGGTGCCGGAAATTGGAGAGTCCACATGGTCAAAGGTCAATGGGCACAGGCAGATTTTTAGACAATTTTTCTAATGGACATGGACTCTACGGAGCCGAGTAGAAAAACTTTTTGTTTCAGCGGTGACCTAGGCATTTTTTATCGCCATTTTGAAAGGGACCATTGAAATCTTTACTTTCTGCTGGACATGCCGAAAGAAGTAAGTGTTCAGATAACCTTTTGACCCTTCAAGAGGAGGCGTTAAACATGGATTTGTTGACTGTCTGCTTAGAAAGAATTTGACTGCCGGGCTTTGCTAGGTGAATCTATACCATTGCCTGGATTGTATGAGGCCTACAATGTCACAGTGAAAATTTCAAAAAGCTAAAATTTGCGTTAAAAGAAGGTTTATGCTCCTTAAAATCGGTATGAATTTATATCGGCATTCTTGTTACTGTCAGTATAGTTACATGTCAACGTTATGCCACTGCAGTGGCTACCTTGCCAGTGCATGTGTTTGGTGGTACTGTGGTAGTTTTGCTTTAATTGGTTAAGCGTGGGCAGCTTTCTACTTGCAGAGCCTTGTAGGCTTGCGTCAGGTAATATGGATGCAGTGCTTACCTATTCTGTTTGTCAGATAGTTGTTCGCTACTACGTATGTATGGGAGCTTCCATCTTTAATCTGGAATACACTTAAACTGTACGCGCCATCTCGTGGCCAACTTGTCATAACTGATCTTCAACGAACATTCTTTGAGAGGAGTTCTGGATACGATCCACAGGGTTCTCCCCAGGATGAAATTCAAACAAGGGTGGAGGGGAGCGGGTGGGGGTAGGAGGGGAGGGGGGGTAATAGGGGGTTCCGGGGGGGCGTGTATTTCTTTACCGCTCGACTACATTAATTGCGTAACAATCGCCACGGTTATTGTGGGGTTCTTTGTTTATATAAGCATAGCCGAGTGGGTGTAACACGTCTAGTACAGGTTAACTGTGCATGTGTCAGCGCTTAACGTTGGTGTATCTGTCTGCAGTGCATGGTGGTACTCCCCGTAAACAACCGCGTCGGATGTTCCTGGCTCGAACGGCAATTCTTGACGATCGATTCCCGGCACTGGCAACTTTTATTGTTGTGGAACATTTTAAACGGGGCGGAAGTGTCAATTCCAAACGAGGTATTCAAACGGGGCGCAACGATTCAAAACAGCGGTGGGAGTTTTCAACCGGCGGCGCCCCGCGGCGCGCCCGTTTGCGCAACGTGAGGAGCAACCCATGCATCCCTGTTGCATTCCACTGTTTTCGGCGCGTATGTGAACACATTTGGGGACTAACAGGGTTACGAGAATCCCACCACTCCACCAACAGTAGTCACCGCAGTAGACCATAGATGGCAGCGCCTGATCCGCTCTGCCGGCACTTGTATTATTCATGACTTTCTCGGCATCCAACGCGCATTTGCATGGCTTCTTGTGTCTGCAAGCTCGGGCCGATAAAGGACCAGAGCCGAGCCGCTGGCCGCGCCACGACAACATGTGCCGCCAAGACACGCGACCTTCGCGGCAGCTGCCAAGGCCGTCGTCGGACGACGTGTCCGACTCGTTTCCTCGAGTCACGAAAAACCCCCCCCAAAAAAAAAATAAAAAAAAAAAAAAAAAAAAAAAACCCCCCCCCCCACCCCCCACAAAAAAAACCCCATTTCACTATAGTTTAGTTCTCATCCGAGGCGGCACAAGGCAGGACAACCCGAGAAGGTAGTGAGTAGGATACGCGGCAGAAGTGTTCACCACGAGCGACACGCGAACAAACTCGTTGAGAGGTGAGTGCTCCTTGCCTGCCCACCCCTCCTCCTCGTTTACGTAATGCGTAAATATTTCATTGACCAGTCATCGACAGTAGTGTTAGCTAACGCCGACGTCGTCTTTATCGGACTATATGGGACACAAATTCTGCTGCGACTTCTTGCTAACCGCGTAATTCTTCTACTTATTCTTGGTCAGATATTAATTCTCTCTATCTCTCGTTGTTTCCTCGTATGCATGGTAATCCTGATGTTACAAGATTTAACAATTTATTCCTGTGGAAGAATTGATTTGATGTTTGTGAAATAAGCTCGCAGTGCAGGTATGGGGGGGTACCGTACACGCGGGCTGCGACGTGGGGCGGTAGAGCAGGCACTCACGTTGTTCTCATACTCGGTGAGCAGGTATGGGGGAGAAGGGGTACCGTACACGCGCGATGCAACGTGGGGCGGTAGAGCAGGCACTTACGTTGTTCTCATACTCGGTGAGCAGGTATGGGGGAGAGGGGGTACCGTACACGCGGGATGCAACGTGGGGCGGTAGAGCAGGCACTCACGTTGTTCTCATACTCGGTGAGCAGGTATGGGGGAGAGGGGGTACCGTACACGCGGGCTGCAACGTGTGGCGGTAGAGCAGGCACTCACGTTGTTTTCATACTCGGTGAGCAGATCCTGCAGCGCCTGCCGCACGGCGTTGCACTCGGCGACGATGCGCTCGCGACGCTCGTCGCGCGTGCACGACGAGTCGGCCATCAACGCCGCGCCGCTGATGATGCTCTCGAGACGCTCCTCGAGCGATGGCCGCGTGACGACGACGTTGTACTTGACCGGGTCCATGTTGATCTTCGCCTGCCGAAGGAAACGTCAGTCGATCAGTGAACCCAAGTGATGTCCCGATGATCGATTATAATCGAAAGTCAGTCGTTTGCAGCAATCGACTATGAAACTAATTAATCAATTATCAAAAAAATAAATAAATGTTTTTTAATTAAATTTGTGTTATATCCATTTCCGGGTCCATGTTGATCTTCGCCTGCCGAAGGAAACGTCAGTCGATCAGTGAACCCAAGTGATGTCCCGATGATCGATTATAATCGAAAGTCAGTCGTTTGCAGCAATCGACTATGAAACTAATTAATCAATTATCAAAAAAATAAATAAATGTTTTTTAATTAAATTTGTGTTATATCCATTTCCGGGTCCATGTTGATCTTCGCCTGCCGAAGGAAACGTCAGTCGATCACTAAACCCTCATCAGACAAGACAGATAAGGACACTGAAGGGAAGGAAAGTCAGTCGCCACGTCGATCAACAAACCCTTATCAGACGAGACGGATAACCAGAAACTGACGCTGACGCTGATGCTGAGGGTGGCAGAAAGACGTCAATCGGAATATTGGATACAAAGATACACAAGAACATCGGATACAAGGACATGAGACACAAGGACATCAGACAACAAAAGCACACAAGGACACCAGACACAAAGACATAAAAGGACATCAGACACCAAGAGCACACAAGGACCCCAAAACAAGGACAAACAAATGCATCAGACACAAGGGCACCTGACGTAAACTCGCTAGGCACAAAGACACTAGACACAAAGACGTCGAACACAAAATCCTCGGTATCTTTGAACGCGCACGAATACAACCACACACACACACACAGTAACATCGCAGCACGCCGACCATCAGTGACGTGACTCGCCGCGCGCCGCACTCACGTCAAAGTCATCGAGGGCGCTAGCGAGCACTCCAGCCTTCTCTAACTCGGATGCCTCCGACTCGCCCGGCGCCTGCGCGATCTCAGAGATGGCGTTGACGGCCTCGCACACCTCCCTGTAGACGTAGTCGCGGTTCTCCTTCGCCGGCGCCAGCTCCGGGTGCCGGATGTAAGCCTGCGTGTCACAACAAGCATCGCGGTTAGCGGCTCTCCCCTCAACACGCGCGGAAAGAGAATCTGTAGCGCATGCGCTGCAGCAAGCGGTGGTAACGTCGCAAATACAGCGTTATACAGCTTATTGTTATTATTACTATTCGTATTATTATTATTATTATTATTATTTATATTCATATTCACATTCATATTAATCTGTTAATAGTCATTTTATTACTATAATTATTATTATTATTACAGCAATGAAGCAGTGGGTAAGTGCAATACATGTTTTAGATTTACGATAAACGTGATGCGGTCATGATATCTATCAGTTGAGCGCAGGTATAAAAAAGGTGTTTCATCGCACCGCACACACGCGCGCGTGGGTCGTACCTTCGATGTGGTCAGCAACATGACACTGTTCTTCTTGAGCACAGCCCTGGCTGCGGCGAGATCGTCACGGCGACGCGAGTCCTTCAGGTCCTGAAGAACGACCAGAGAGGCGTGAGCACCGAGTTCAAAGATGTGGGGTTGGAGCAGGGGTGTAGAGGCAACGTGGGGTTAGATCGGTGGGGCGAGAATGGTAGTAGCGGCAATGTGTGGTTAAGTCGGGGGAGCAAGGGTGGTGAAGGCAAGGTGTGGCTACGGAGCTGGGACATTGGTGGTAAATGGCAACTCATGATTCTTAGCTGATACGTAATACCAGTGCCGATGCCAAATCTCTCACCTGCTGACGCTTGCGTGCCTGCTGGGTCAACTCGTTCACGTTTTTGCTAAAGTTCTTGTAGCTGTCCAGCAGTTCCTGTTGGTTTGATGCATTCTTGATGTTGCCCATGTCATCCTCAACCTACAGTGTGAGAGAAATCGCTGCCATGACCTATGTTTGATGCAGAATATCGGGACCATCACACAATTTACCGACAACACTATTAAATGCACATCTAACGCTACTTCCTTGCAGGTATTAAAACATCATACAGTCACATAGGTGAAATACATCATTTTACTCTACGTTATAAGAACTGAAACTCCTTCAGCACCAAAACAATAACGATTCCAACAAGTACCAAATCTTTCCGCAAACAAACTACACAGCGCCACACAGACAACAACGTAGAAAACCCGCGATATCGCTGTCTATCGTCACCGATTGCCGGTGGCGCCGCCTCCTGACCGAGATACGCACCACTTTGAGCGATTTGAGCAGCCTGTGAACGTCGACCATGTCGGAAAGGATGAGCAGGCGTGTGACAGCGGAGAGCAGAGCACGCGCAGCACGAACCATCGCCCCACGCTTCACCGACGAGCACGGGTCGTCCGCAAAGTCCTTCGACGCCACGCGCATCGTGTCGCCTGCACGAAGATAAGAGAGCATCAGCATCCGCGAGGATTCGAGTTTACGCTCGACTACGACGTGTCTACTATCGCAACGTCTTCTCATAAATGTTATATTTGACAGGCGCATGACACTACGCTGTATTTCAAAGTAATGCAAATCTATCGGGATGATTACTTATGTATAGACACAAGGAGCTTGATCGGAGAGTAAGGGGAGGGAAATCTATGATCAGCCCACAATGTAAAGGATTCTCAGCATACAGCAAGAACAGTCCTGAGCAGTGACAGAGCTCCTCTAGTAAAAAATACTCATTTTTGTAATGTTGCTTAAAAATTTTGTTATAAAACTTATGTATAAATAAATGAACCAATGTTAAGCCATAATCCTATCGGCAATTTAAAATCGTGTTGATTGCACCGATGAATATACGTGATGATTACTTCCAGCAGGGATTTAATAACTTATGAACATCACTAGTCTCAAATCCTTGTTTAAATTCGCACTGTGTAAGACTCAAAACTCAATTATTTAGATAATCTTGGCCTGGTCAACAAATCGCAGCTACACTGATCAAATGTTGCATTCATAGATGTGAAAATAACTAACTATAGATTCATTTTTAAGCTGTATGCTTGTTAGTCAGATATTTGTACTTGGAAGTACATCAGTACCTACTACTTGTAAGTAACATTATAAACAGTTCAACATCTAGTGCTATGAAACAAGCATAGACAAGCTATTACCTCTAGGCTAGATTACATCAGACCCATTGTCAGAAACAAAGTAGTTACGACATAGTAAGTCTAAAATTGCAAAACCTTTCGAGTGGATGGTCATCCAAATACTCGTGACATTGTAGATTCATGACAGTCATAACTATTTATGTTGCTGATAACAGGTCCCAGGCTAGAAATAACAATTGTGGAGACAACAGGAAGGGCATGGCTTAGATGACTATAGCACAAACGAAGCCTTGGCCAGCATACCGGCTTTCTTGACCTCTTCGACCGCAGCCAACATTTCGACCCTGACCTCAGGGTTTTCGCTTGCAATGTGCTCGCCAGCGATTGTGAAATGTTCGGTGGCTTTCTGCACAGCCGCGCAGAGCACATGTGCCTTCTTGGACCGGCCTTTCTTTTTGTTCGATGGGCCCTTGGAACTGATGAGTGTGGTAACCTGTACAAATGGCAAATTATATGTGTTTCGTCAGCACGTCATCTTCGCCATGTGTTTAGATCAGCGTGCAGAATTATTTTTGTTTCATTTTTTGACACAGGACAAACTTGATCCTTTCTAAGTAATATAAATACATCAATGAATAAGTACATGAATTAGCGATGCATTACAAGTTTATTAACAACTTCATCTGGACAGTAATAATACATGTATAAAATCTCACCCTCAGGTGCTACTGAAACTATATTACGAGATATAAACTTACCTGAGTAACAAGCGGTTCCAGTGTTTTCTCTACCGACTTCGTTCTTATATCCAAGTTCTTTGGGTCCCATTTTATTTGAATAGAGTCGTGTAGGCCTAGAGATGCCATCCTGCTCCCAAACTAGTCGGGCAATCTTCTGCACCAAAAAAATCAAACCTGCAGGCGCTAATGAAGTAATGCAACGAGAAATCACAACACTAATATTGCTCCAGATGTTGGTTGTATGATAATTAGTATCCTACAAATAGCCCAATTTAACCAATTAACATAAGCTGAGTTTGAATTTTGAATTGCAGGCTGAAACCAACATGATTATATTACAGACTATGGTCAGTTTTTATTGTACCAAATGGGTTCAGCATAGCCAGCTATGCTGCACAAATTTATCACTGGTTTCCTGCATATTTTACAGTATTAGACCATGTCAGAGCAAAGGGCTACACAGGTAGAGCAAGGTTAGAGTACTGCAAGAGGAACACAGCCACAAATCGCATCATATATTAGCACTAATAATTGGTACTAGCTTAGCTAGGTACTTAGAAATGAGTGTTAAATAAATACAACATGTCTATTGTGCGTCACATATAATCACACATATATCGTCGCTGAGAAAAAATCACTTAATGTTTGAAACTTAGGCGTAAATGCATGATTATTTTATTTAAAGCCAAATGCCATCTTTGTTAGAAACGCAATGATGAAATTGCAGTGTTTCATTGAAAATTAACGTCGTTTTAGTTAAAGTCGCGTTTTTCCCTTTCAGGAACCCTAACAGTCGGCTAACTACGACGTTCATTAATGGGGGAATAGGTGTACATGGTACATCAATGGGCGCGTTTGTTTGGTCGGATCCACGGATCTCGATCTAATAGATTCGTTGATCTGACTGTTTGTTTGGTCAGATCACTCGATCTCGATCCACCGAACCCGACCCTGCTAGCGAGGTGGATTATAATGGGATCCAATATGGCGGCCCGCACCTCAGCCAATCACAGCTTGTTCTTTGTTATGAACCATCCCGTGATAGGTCACAGCGAAACGTGAACAGGTGAAAATGAGTTTTCGTTCGTTGTTTGGTCGGATCAGATCACATATTTTTGATCGATCATGACGGATTCGTCCCAAACAAACACGCCCCAGGATTCAATAACTGACCAAACTCCAAAGTAGATCGTTACTTCGTAAATATTACTACTATTAGTCATGCCCACGAGCCCAGGCACTTGGAGCGTTTTCAATAAAATATAATGCTAAATACAATACGAAACATCTATTATCTAACCAAAGTTCTTAATGTTTCTTCTAACTCTCTTTCACCTATTATTGCGACATTTTCTGTAAATGCCGTCCAAATGTTCATCTGCAAACACACGCTGGCTGCGCACCTTAGCTTGCCTGCACACTATACACATAAATATTATAGCGGTAAGGATAAGCGTGCTGCCCAAAATTTCGCTTCGCACGCTCGCTTGATTTCACACGAATACAACACAAATATTCAGCATTCTACTCAGCCATCTTTGTTTCTTTTGAAGGACAGGTGTTCAGCTTGCTTATAAAAACATACTGTCTGTGCTTTCGTAACTGAGCTTGTGTTCACGCGAAAATCACACCAAGCCTGACGAAAATCTCGAGCGTTCGCATCCCTTGCGCAGTTATATGTAAATGGCTGTCGGAATTCAAGGAAACAACCCCAGCAGGCATGAAACAAGACAAATGCTGAGGAAGGGAGGAAGGGAGGGAGTGGGGGAATTCTTTAGGGGGGGGTATGGCTCGCCCAGAAAATTATAAGCTCTGAGATGCAATGCTAGAGCCATTTTTTCCCAAGGGTTACTCCAATTAGCTTCAGAACTACAACACTTTTTGGTAAAAAAAGGCTAAAAAATTATGAAATTATTATATAACATGGTCCCTTACTGTAAAATTTTGATGGGCACTGGGGAATTCCGTCTGTGTTGAGTGTGTCCAAAGTAAATGTATTTTGTAGACATAAAAGCTCTTATGTAAGGAAGCTTTTATTTTGCTAAACCCTGTATAAAATGTATATAGTTGTTCCGAATGTTAAAAATAATATGAAACAATTAAATCCGAGTGGTGCGACAATGCTGTACTGCTGTTTGCATGACTAGTAAGTAATATGACGTGCTTTGCAGCTACAGTGACTTATGTGTGTTAAAACTTGAGACAATTATTATTATTTACTATATAATTCAACATGCTATATTACCTAAATCTTCTTAATATTACTTTAAAACAGTATACTGATCAGTTAACTACCAGTGATACTTTATTGTTTACATCCAAACGTGAAATGTGCGAGGATGTGCGAATTACTCCACAACTTAGCGCACGTGAACAGTGAGCGTGCCGCAAGACCCGTTGCCGTAAATAAACCCTGGCCAACACAATGTAAGGTTCACTACCACTGGCCAAAAGTAAGCTCCACCCACTTCTTATCGATTTTTGGTATGCCAACGCTGCTACTGGATTCAGGAACCTGTGCTAACCTGTGCGTCCGAACATCCCACGCACGTTTCTTGAATGTCAACTAAAGTTTGGCCGTACTCTGCTTTTATCATTATGTTAGCAAGCATACATTAAGACAATGATACAAGTAGAAGCGCTCCGGATAGTTACCGAGTCACAGTGTGTTCACATGTACGCGATCGTCAGAGACCACGGAGGTATTCTTACCCCCCAAAAAAATTTCTCCTCGAATTTACACGCATCTCAGAAATGGTCTCTGGAGTTCTAAAATGGCCAGAAAAGTCTCATGCCTGACCCACCGGTGCTCTTCGTGACCTCATTTTTGCGCGGCACACTCCACTGCTCCACTGGCGTCTTTGACAAGGCTCGTACAGGAGTTGAAAAGCAGCGTGGTAGTTTCCCAAAATGCTGTGCGCTGAGTCGTACTTGAGGCCATTTACATAAACTGCGCAACGGGAGCGAACGCGAGAATTTCGTCAGGTTTTCTGTGATTTCGCGTGACACAGCTTGGTTACGAACACAGACAGTATGTTTTTATAACAAGTGAACACTGTCCTTCAAATAGAAACAAAGATGGAGTAGAATGGTTGAATATTTGTGTTGTATTCGTGTGAAATCAAGCGAGCGTCGAGCGAATTTTGGCAGCACGCTTTCCTACCGGCTATATATTTATGTGTTAGTGTGCAGCAGCTAGCGTGCGGCAGCCAGCGTGTGTTGCAGATGAGCATTTGGACGGCATTTACAAGAAATTGTCGGCAATGTCGGTCGGTCAATTGTCGGTGAAAGAGAGTAGAGTCTAGACTAGAGAAACAATAACTAAGACTTTGGTATAGTAAATAGATTTCGTATTTATTTAGCATTATATTTTATTGAAACGCTTTATGTGAGTAAGTGCCTGTGCCCACGACATTAGGCCTATATAAACTGCCTAATGCCCTTACTGAAGTTATTCTATAATAACGAAAACGGATGGTCAAATAGACAAATACTATACATTCGAATGGATATATCAATGTTTAGATTTTCCATGACATTATTGTTATAGATACATTAACTGTATATCTCTTACGTGTGTTTCTTGTGATGAGTTGAGCCGATATAGACACAAACAATAAAATGTGTAACTTAGTACAACTGTTTACTTTTATTTCCGTTTTAACATGGCGGCCGGAGTTTGCGCATCGATGAATCGGATGATGACTCACAGTCACACTGGCAAACGAGTACTTGTTACTGTATCTATCAAGCCCACGTGCTTATATACCAGAGATGATGTACATATTATTTTTATGGTGAGATCCGTTTAAACGGCTTTACACGATAGGTTTTTTTTATTACGCAATCGTTTTTAAGTCGTGATCACTTGACTATGCCTGGTATTGATGATCAAGAGTTACAACAAGAGCGTTCTTGTGATTGGGTGATTTTCCATGGACATGACCAATAAGAGATGTCATGACAATCACACCCATAATTGTAAACTTCCTTATTCAGGTTTTTCTGAACAGTGTGAGAGGCATGTAGTTCATAATGGTCTTGGCATGTATAACTATTATATGCGATAAGTAAACCTGATATATTTTTATGAATTGATATATTAGCCACGTGCAATTATTGAGTTCCCTGTCACTTAGCCATATGAATCGGATCAAGCCAGCCATGGGGTGAGTAAAGTAACTATTAGTAAAACATACACTCTTCGCTTACTTTCCCTTTCTAATTTTTCATAACACTACTCACTAGGCCTAATAAATGCTCACTAGGCCTACTCACTAGGCCTAATACCTAGGTAATAGGTATAATAGTAGGCCAAGTAATACTAGTAGTACAGTACAGACTGTATGACTATGAGTTTCAATATACCAATTTAAATTACCATATATTATTATATCCTCAGCATAAATACTTGTGCTATTAACTGACTTTTATTATTGGTGGGGTAAAATTAGAATGTAATTTTTTTTTATGCGTTCGCTAATGCCGCGAAACTACATGATGTCATTCATAATGTTAGGTACTGGTACATGATGTTAGGTACAGGTATTGAAGTACCGTCGCTGATTATGCAGAGTTGTCACTAACGCTTGTAGTTGTGCACATAGTTGTAACAGTATACATGTCTATCGAGCAAAATTTGTTGACACATATACGTATACATAGTACATGTACAGACTACAGATGTAGATGGTGCGAACATAATGGAAACTGAAGTTGGACGTATATATATGTGTATTTCATTGATGTATACGTACGCAATTTTGAAAAGTACGCCAGGTGCAAGACATAAGTAATAGTTCTTTGACCTCCTTCCTATCATTGCACAGACAGACTAAGTGATAAAGTGATATATAATCATACGTGTGTATGGAACGTGTGTAACAATATATGTCTTAGCATGGATAATGATATGATTAAAATGGAGCTGTTCTACTTCTATCAAAACTATCATCAATATATACACTGCATGCATAGTCACGCATGTTGCTGTGCTAGAGGCCTTTCACACTGACAATGATGTCTATTTTTGTAATGATTCTGAGACAAGTAAAATAGCATATATGCATGTTTTTAATTCATGTGGTCGAAATGAGTGGTGTATTTAAGATAGTCATGAGCTCGTACTAGTAGTGCAATTAGATGGATGTGTTATTGCACCATAGTATCCTGGAGCTGCAGTAGAGTATAAATTACAGTATGCAATTTAAATTAGAATATACCCTACTTGTAACAGTAAATATAAAGAAGTGCATGTACATTATCATCTAAATCAGAAATTGTTGCTGCATTTTATATCATACTGTAATTGACTAATTGTATTCGCATCAGCGGAGTGTAGGGGTGGCTTTGCGAATTTGCCGTGATCACCTGAACATGGGGGTGGGGAAGCATACTATCAGCAGGTGGAGCTAGAGTCATTCGCAGTCCAATGCCTGAATCGACCAGAAGCTACTCGTTATGCTTCTTCATAGGGTAATAATAAGAATACATCAATTTGTAATTATCTAATCGAATGACTGGTAAAAACAAATAATCTAACTCGTGTTTTGCATACATGTATTCCACTTTCTGTTATCTGAATAGGTGAATGTTTGAAGTAATAAACTGCACAAAAACATGCCTGTATATACTGTGACTAGATGTTATATTAGACACTTAATTCAGTGATAAACTGATAACTGATTTTTGAGAAGTACAGGCCCTGAATCTTCAATTGCTGCCTTGCACCTAATACTTTACATTAATATTATACAGGAATGTGTACACATTAAAGAGCATTGTGTGCATTCCTAACAAGCATTACGTATCTCAATTCGAAAATGGTTTGCTTCGAATTCTACTCACAGATGTTAAAATAAGTGCCTATTCAATGCGGGTATAAATTTATTGTATTGTGTATACGCTGTGCACAAGGTCATTCCTAACAGGCGTTATGTATGTCAATTCGAAAGTGGTTTTGGTCGAACTCTACATGTCCATGTACAGCATAGCCAGTACTGGTTATGCACGAAAACTTCTTCCTCCGCTGCAGATAAAATCATTAATTAGGTAATTGAACAAAACCCCAGTATCATGCGGCTTTAATCGGAGAGCAATTACTTGTACTCGAGGTCTGTGTATATGAGGGATAATATTCCGTTTTGTTGTCCTTTTACTTTATGGGCTCAGTACGCAAGCGTCACATGCAGGCATTGCTTTTTGCGCTCATGACTGAATGCAAGTGATAGTCATCATCATCTATCCTCTCTCGCGAACTGGTTTGTCGTGTCAGTGGCTGAGAAGGAAGAAATCGTTTACGAACTCGCTGCCTAAGTGTGGCTAACGATTCATACCGCAGTCGGTCACGCGTGTAGCAGTGTATGTGTGTGAGCGTGCGTGCATGTGTGTTGGTGTGTGTGCGTGCGTTCGTGCGCGTGTGCGTGTGTTTGTGTGTGCGTGCTTGCGTGTGCGTGCGTGCGTGCCTGCCTGCCTGCGTGCGTGCGTGCGTGCGTGCGTGCGTGCGCGCTGCTAGTTCATCATTACTCACACGACACTTCATGTATCGCCGGGGTTCGCGCAAACTGGTTCTCAGTGCGTAATGCAACTCATTTGTAGTCGGCGTTCATGTTGCGCGTGCGGGTAGCGTGAGACCATAGGAATGTCGAGAGAGATATATAGCCGAACGAGCGCATTATTGCTGTGTGTGCGACAGATAGGCGACGCTGTGCGCTGTGTTAGACTTACGTAGTGTGGTCCACCCAGTTCAGCGCTGTCCCACAGCTGCAATGACTCTATGCTTACCGCACAAGACGCTGTCTCTTTACATTCTGCTTAGTCCTGTTCCGACTGCACCCGCGAGAAAAGGAAGGGCGCCACGAGTGTCGTAGATGCAGATGCGGCAACGTTATTATGTCGCGCTCGATTACTGGTTGTCGTCGAGTTTACACGGCTGTTTATCTAGAGAATTGTGTGATGACAGCGTTACCAACATTGCGTATCCATTTTTGACTTATTCGAAAAATCTCTGGTGGCCTCCAAATATTCTTAGCAACTTACCGAGTTAGTCTATGGCATTTATAAATGAAAGTGTCAATGACACTGGGTGTGATAGAAGAGGGAGGGGGGATATATAAAGCAAGAGTATATATGGGAGAACTCCCATTATATAGCATATATCCCATTATATACTCTTGATAATGATGATATATGAGTAATTTTTGATGCGAAAATAAATGTTCTAGATCTGTTGGCATACAATCTGATGGGGTTGACCGTAGGCCGGCAGACACTGAAATGCATAGTGAAATTGCCAAAATCTACCTAATTTGCATAATTTAAAAATAAAATAAAAACCCGTGTGATATGTTTTGGGGGCCAGTCCTTATTCAATCACATACCAGAATTGAGCAAAATCCGTTGAACCTGAACCGACTTATGGCCATTTCCATTTTTGCGAAAAAGGACGTGGCTCAAAAATAGGACGTTCAAACCTCTCCCATAGGAGTAACAACTATATGCAATTTGAAACATGTGGGTCAAACGGTTCCTGAGTTATCGTTGACCGTAGCCAAATGTTGACGGACGGACGGACGTACGTACGACGGACGACACCCCATGGCAATAGCTCATCTTGACGATGTCAAGGTGAGCTAAAAATGTGGGCACAGTGGTTGGTCGCTTGTTTATCTAGAGCAATGGTTCTTAACCTTTTTTTCAGTCATGCCTTTGAGAATCTGGTGAAAGCTACGGACCCCTCCTCAGAAAAATGCGCATAAGCACATAAACACAAAATTCTGCATGCACCTGGTTCACGGACCCTCTCTATCAACGGACCCCAAACGGGTCCATGGACCACAGGTTAAGAACCCCTGATCTAGAGCAATAGAACCGTATAGAGTTATCAACGTTGTATATCGATTTATAAATATGTGACAATAGAGTTGTCACTGTTGTTACTTGTATGTTTGTTTGTAAATATGTGACTGTGGTGTTATTATTGTTGTTGTATCTCTATTCATAAATATGTGACCGTAGTGTTATCAACGTTGTATGTCAATTTATGAACATGTAACCATTGAGCTATCTAAATTTTATGTCTATTTCTGAATATGTGACCATGGAGTTAGTAACGTTGTATGTTCATCTGTGGAAATGTGGTTATTGTGTGAGTAACGTTGCTTGGTAATCTATAGAAATGTGGCGACATAGTTAACGAGTTCACGTCTCTATAGTTGTGTACCAAGTCTACAACGCTGACTGAATGTCTAGCTTGCTCTAGGCACAGATCTAACGAGCGTGCATGTTTATCTTAAGAATACTGTATAGGCTTCGAGTTAACAAGTTTGTCCGGTGTATACGTGGAAATGTGTACAGAGAGCGTTAACAGGTTACTCTCCTGCTCCGTGTTCCACGCGTAATTATAGCTAGTGGGGGTTAGCAGCCACATGTTCTCGTTTTCCCCCTTTAGTACTGCTGATCGCGCACGGCCTACGTGGAAATCCGCGAGGCGCGACAATTGGATTAATTATTTTCCACGTAGTTTCAAGGAAAAATGATCGCGAGACAATTGCGTTAATTATATTCCGTATTGCCTGAAATGGAGAAAACTCGCAGTACGTGCGTGCGTGCGTGTGCATGCGACCGTAGCATCATGAAAACTGTAAAAGTCTCACGAGAAGTTGAACGTAATCGTCGCAGTTCCTCGGCTAGCTACTGTACGATGTATCCCCGCGGACCGAGACAAGTTTCTCACAATTCGACGAAGGCAAGCTTCACTGTTCTGCTTGCATACATGTATGCTTGCTTGAGATTGGAATACCCGTTGACAAGGCACACGTTAACTCTTTGCGTGTATCGTGAGCGCAGACAACATCGCAGAAAGGGCCATCAGCATAGCGTTCGCACAGTCATTGCGACACATAATTGCGTGATAATGAATGACGGCATCACGCGACTCATATGTGTAAATATTTAATGTTCACGCCAAATTTACGCCGCTGAATTATTTGTAAAACGTACAGAAAATTCTTACCAAACCTACACTTGCTAAATGCGTACAATTTCAAAAAAGCTGTCTAGCTATGCGGCTTATAAATGGACGAACTCTAGATGTAAAACAATTAAAGCCACTCGGGGATACTCTCCACCTTTTGCACGGGTATTGCTCTAATGAAGATTAAACGTTTAT